TGCCCACAGATTTATAATGTACAGTGATACAATTTGTAAAAATTTTTTTTTTACCTAATGCACTAGCATAACCATTCAAAATTTGACAAATCTGTATATATTTGGACAAATTTATGGCATACAAAGGTACAAGGTAAGGTGTTAGATTGAAATACAGATTTAAATTTACAATAATTGTAACTATATAATAAGGCAGATGGGGTCGTTGTCAAAATTTGACAAATCTGTATATATTTGGACAAATTTATGGCATACAAAGGTACAAGGTAAGGTGTTAGATTGAAATACAGATTTAAATTTACAATAATTGTAACTATATAATAAGGCAGATGGGGTCGTTGTCGTATCAGGTACTACAGATATGTACCCGAGGTAGTTTTAGGTTGTTTAGTATTATGTTTATATTTTTATATAATTAGGAGGTAGTTTTAGGTTGTTTAGTATTATGTTTATATTTTTATATGAGGTATGTTTAGGGTTAGGGTTAGGGTTAGGGTTAGAGTTAGGGTTAGGGCTAGGGCTAGGGCTAGGGTTAGGGTTAGGGTTAGGGTACACTTCTGTAGTACAAGTCTGGTACACTTTGTGTAAACATATATGTACCTCGGGTACATATCCGTAGTACCTGATACGACAACGACCCCTTCAGCTATAATAAGCTGAAGTTATTGATTCACAGTGCGATTAGTAATACACTTTGAATCCGTTAACTTTTGGCTAATGTGTTGACTACAGATTTGCTTGAAATCGTCTCAGCAAATCTGTAAAAATAAAATTTGGACCCTAGATAATACAACAAAGGTTGAGCGTATAACGCCAACTCCACCATGATGTTTGGTGCAGGCCCTCCCTTAGTGTACAACGATTTTAGTGTGTACATGATAACTCTGCTCACCAGTTTATATTCCTCTAGTTCCTTTGGATCGATGCCCTCTGCATTGTAGATAGCACCATCCCACTCCTGAACACCGATGCACTTTACTCCAGCTCTGTGCAGGTAGCGGCATGAGTGAAGTCCCACGTTACCGAAACCCTAATCAAGTGAGAGTAGTATTAGCCTAATTATATTGGAGAGCTACAGATTTCAATGTTGTTCCGTACACCAAGCTTTCAATGTTTAACACCTAGGTAATGGAAATGCACAGTAGGACCACAACACCCATTGATACAGTTTTTAACCCAGGCAGTCGCAATTGAATTGCATGTGTTGTCTCTATTTTATTGCGAAATGCGGACCATTTTCAAATTTAATCTACTGCTTGATAAAGATTTGTCACCCTTTAACCTCAGGTTCTTACATTTGATGTGTCACTGATTTACGATTGAGGCAAGGCAAATCAGATGTAAGGTGTCTATCACCCTGATTGATACACAAATAGGACAGCATACCTGTACAATCATGGTTTTGCCTCCAAAACCAGGAGTGAGACCAATGGAACTCATGTAGCTAGCTTCATTTATGAACTGTTCTATTGCGAGGAACACTCCCTAGAGAAGGAGTGCACTTGTTATAACACATCATGCTGACATTGGCATTTAATAAAAATAATTATGAATATATAGTGATTTCTAAGTACAATAATTCCTTTGAGCAGTGTAAACTTTTAAAACAATCTCTAACTATTCATTCTAGGACACAAATAATTAGCTTCGAGCAATCAATATATATATTTTTTTAAATACAAAAAAATATACAGAAAGGCACATAATACTTTAAAGACACATAAACTGCACAAAACAATTCAGACACCTTCGCCACCTACCCTGCCCGTAGCAGAGACTCTACCGTGGATACCTCCCTGAGAAATTGGCTTGCCCGTTACACAGCCGTAGCCGTTAATGTCTAGGTAGCCTATAATCGACAATAAACGCTACATTGATAACCTTCCAAATAACAGACCGAGCAAGAATCAATGAATTACCAAGAGCCTTGGCACTTTAAACGGTTCTATAGTCTGTTATCGGCAAACAAAGAGAATCTCACTGAGGTGGGGTAAAAAAGAATAATTTACCTAAAGTTTTTGCATATGTGCTAGCAATCCATGACATCTCACGCTCTCCTGTACCCATGTCAGGGGCAGGCACGTCTATTCCAGGTCCTAAATGCATAACGAAAATAATTCTGATACTGATACGGATGCACTAATGAAGGAAAGAATACACGCATACTGAAATTGCCCCTAAACGAGCATTTAATCTAGCCTGGGAAGCTTTGTCACTACAGTGGCAATTTATACATGAGAAACAATCACAAGGATTCAGGCAACGTAACAGTATGCTGCCAACACCAGAAATACCCTGTTCAGCCTACTTTTTTACTGTAGTGCATGCTTTAGGAACCTAATGCACTCAGTACAGAAAAACATACAAGGTTAATAGCATTAGGGTAAAACGTTTGCTACCCAAATGATGAAATCACTAGAAGCACAACAACAGTTGCCATGGGGACATCTACATGTCTTACTATGCCTAGGAACATTAACCGGTTTTATGATGGCCAAGGGCCAGTTGTCAGATACAAACTTAGTCTTAACATTGATTGTAGCACTAACTTTTCCTCATAGACTGGAGTTGTGTACACTATGTGTGAGAAACTGGTAACTTCACCATGTCTCTGTCAACAGTGTTTGAGAAAAGGGTAATGTCACTGTCAAGGCTAATGTAAGACTAATTTTGCTTCTGAAAATGGGGCCCAATTAAGTTGCTGCTTTAAGCTATCTCAAACTAGGAGCACAGATCAGCTGTCGAGTACGCCAGCCTCTTCTCTCACCCATGAAGCCCTTTTTGATTAGCTCAACAGCGAAGCGTCGCGTGATTCTCTCCAGCTCATCCTCGCTGTACTTCTTCGGATTGATCCTGACGCCAGCCTTGCCGCCGCCAAACGGGATGTCAACAACGGAGCATTTGTAAGTCATCAGGGCGGAGAGAGCGCGGACTTCATCCCTGCTGCAGTCCTCGCTGTAACGGATGCCTGAAATGTTGAAAACCCATCGCAGTTATCGTCGACACGCAAGTGAAACTCGAGCGATTCGAGCTATACTGTAACACGCTACCCTGGAACCACACGATTGGAGCAGTTGTGTTGTATTGTCTTAGTGACGTTACCAGGAGTAAGATAATATAGATCTATATTATCTTACTCCTGACGTTACTAAGTCCTGCTTAGATGTTATCTCTCTACTCCAAATTTCTAATCTATTCCAATATATTCTATTTCATTCAGTTAGTACTATATTCGGCAAGACTCAATATATTACTATTTTTGTCTGATTTATTCTATTACATTTCTGCTGCACATTTTCACAAACAGATGTGCGCTGGTATCTGGAAAACAAACATATTCAAATTAACAATATAAACCACTTACGTCTGACGGGAAATGCAGAGAAATAGACTGTGCCCACCACCACCACCACCACAGAAATCCTTAGCCACCACAAATCGAGTGTGGACACACGTGTACATGAGGATCAAGTAATACTAGAACTCTTTGCAAATAGTAGAGATTGTTTTTCATTGTTTCTAGACCGGTGGATTGGTGGAACACCTTTCTGCCCCACATGCAATGCAAAGTCAAGTTATATTACCTTATTGTCACATTCAACACTTACATGGGAGAGTACATGCACACGGACAAGCAAACATACAGGAATGTCACTTGCAGAGAAATAGACTGTGGGCCAACAAAAATTGTAGCCACAACAAATAGATTTTGCACCACCACAGAAATCCTTAGCCACCACAAATAGAGTGTGGACCCACGTGTACATAAGGATCAAGTAATGCTCAAACTCTTCGCAAATTGTAGAGATTGTTTTTCATTGTTTCTAGCCCGGTGGATTGGTGGAAACACCTTTCTGCCCCACATTCAACTCAAAGTCAAGTTATCTTTTTTTATATAGCTATTTGCTATTACCATATTGTCACATTCAACACGTTGTACATGCACCATGCACACTGACACGCAAACATAGAGAAATGTCATATACCGAACTAAAAGACTGCAATATTTTTATTTTTATTTATGCAAGATCGCAATAGATTTATTAATAGCAATTAGCTTAATTCATTAATAGATATAATAATAAGTGTACGACAAACCATTTTGAGTGAGATATTTATTGCCAATTGAGCTTACGGTTACTATATATACTGTAGCTCGGCGTGATATGGAATTTATAAGCAACCCTGGCATGTGGCGTCTTGTAATTGCGAACTTCGGAGAACGCAATGATAATGTAACGTCTAGGGTCGGTGCGATATAACGCAGCAACACGTAATTTTTTTTGTTTGCCCTTACCATAGGAATTCTATCCAATTCTACAGTATTCGCGGAACCTATACTGTCGGAAGACAAACAAGGTGACATAAAGTTCACCGGGTGGAATTGCGTTCGCGATGCCCTAGGCCTGCTGCTGCATCAATATAACCAAGAGCTAATAATACCTTGATATAACGTAAGCCGTAAGGTACACGGAGCAACCAGCACCAGGGCGTGCAAACTCGCAAGCACAGCAATAACTAATAAAGTTAGTCAAGGAAAGCGCAAGGGACACACATGGCGGTTTATACCGCACGGGTTCACGCACTGGGAGCAAGAACAAGCCCGCACCTGCTGCCGCGTGTATGGAAAGCATTTTGTACCAAAAAGCATAAAACCTAGTTTTTAGACGAGATGTCACTGATCATCGATGAGTTGCACAAGGAATATCCAGATGTACAGCGTGTCACCGCACCCCTCTGATTTGATCTTGACAGCAAATACCGGACACGCATACCTGTTACAATCCATCGGTTTGCCTTGCCAAAACGCACGGATGAGACCGCCTACGGCCACACTCATTTCAGCTAGCCTATCATGTACTGAAGCTGTTCGAGAATTCGCGCCACTTGCAACACTCCATAACGCAGAACGCCGAGTCGCCACTTGTACTACTACACATCATGTCGATGCATTTTAAGATAAAATTAAACTTATGAATATATAGGGATCTCAAGTTACACATAATCCATTTGAGGCATGAAAACTTTAAATACCATCTCTACCTAATTCATTTAGCTATCACAATAATAGCCTCGAGCAATCAACTAACTACATTTTTTTAAATCCCACACCCGAAACATACTATACGAAAAACCAGAAAGCGCACATAATACTTACCAAGACACATAAACTGGCACAAAACAATCAGACCATCCCTGTCGCCACCTACCTCTCCCGTAGCAGAGCCTCCTACCTGGCATACCCCTCGCCTGAGTAAAATCGCCTTTGCCCGTTCTACAGCAGCCGTAGCCGGTTAATGCTAGTGGTAGCCTATAATCACAATAAACGCTACATTGATAAGTCCTTTCCAAACTAACAGTACCCGAGAAGAATCAATGCAATTCACTCAAGCCTGGCACCTTTAAACGTTCTATAGACCGTCTATCTCGCCAAACAGAAGCAAATCCCACTGAGCTGTCGCCGCGCCGTAACAAACAGAATAATTCTACTCCTCAACAGCCTTTGCCATCACCTCGCGCTAGCCAATTCCATCGACCATTCTCACGCTCCCGTCCGCTCCACCCATGCCTCCAGGCGCGCACGCACGCCTCCTATTCCAGGTCCTAACTCAGTAACGACAAATAATTCCGATACGATCACGGATGCACTAATACAAAGGAAAAGAATACACGCATACCTCGCACAATGCCCCGCTAAAACTGACCCGTTAAGACTAGGTACCTCGCAACGCTTTTCGTCAACAGTGGCAATCTCTATTACATCACGAAACAATCTCACAAGGCATCTCACCGCCGCAGACGTGAAACAGTAAGCTGCCAACACCCAGAAACATCCCTGTTTCCAGCCTGCTACTTTTTTACCTGTTGGTGTCACTGTCTACAGCGTATACGCTAATGCACGTCAGTAACAGGAAGAAACCTCCACACGGTTAAATCCCCACCCTCGTACCGGCGTTACAATAACGTTGTCGCCTACCTCAAGCATGATTCGAAACTCACTAGCTCAAGCCACCAACGTAACCAGTTGCCGAGGTGGACTTGGATCATCGATGCCTCTTCACCTACTCGCTCTACCCCGCGCACATCACACCGCGTTTGATCCGATGCCCAACTGCCCCACGTTGCCCAAGCATACCACTTCTGTGTGCCACCTCTATCCTTAACACTTGATTGTTAGCACTAACTTTCTCCACTAGACTGCAGTTCTGTACACTATCGTCGCGAATCTCGCCACAACTGGCGCTAACCTCCTCACGTCACCACTGCTTGCCCTTCCTGTCCACAGTGCGATGTAAAAGTGTAACTGTCATTTGTCCAAGGCTAATCCGTACAGACTCCCCCCTAATTCCTTTCGGCCTCGTGAAACTGGGGCCCTAATAAGCTTGCTAGCTTTAAGCTACTCCTCAAAACCTGAGTACGGCACAGCATCCGAGCTGTCCGCGCTACCGCCAGCTTCTCTCTCCACTTCTTCATAAGCGCCCTCTCTTTGATGAGCGGGCGCTCATACAGCGAAGCGTCGCGTGATCTCGTCCAAGCTTTTGTCTTTTTATACAGCTCATTGCGCTATTGCGACCATATGTCAGCATTCAAGTCACGTTGTACCCATGCCACCATGCCACACTGACACGCCAACAAGAGAAATTCCTACTGTGCCCGAACTAAAACGACTCGCAACTGATTTTGATCTTTTATATGCAAGATCGCAGAAGACTTTATAATCAGCTTAATTAGCTTAAATTCATTTAATATCATAATAGCAAGTAATTTAGAGTCCGTATTCCGACAAACCCACTTTTGCAGCGAGGTCATATTTAGTGCTGCCAACTTTTGTTAGCTTGTGGGTAAAGCTGTCTCTACCGGCTTATGCCTTTATATACCTCTTCGTATCGTCTCGGCGTGACTATGGAATTTTTACTAAGCAAGCCCTGCATCGTGCCCGTCTTGTACTGTGGCCGAACTTTGCCCGAGAAACTCAATGCGCCAGTATGCGGTAATTTAACGTCTAGAGGTCGGTGGCCGTCATAGTATCACGTCAGCAACACGTAACTTTTTTGTTTGCCCTCACCGATACCGAATGTCTATTCCAATTCTAGTGTCAGTATTCGCCGAACCTATAGCTGGTCGGAAGACAACACCAAGGTGACATCCGAAGCTCACGCCGGCTTGCTCAATTGCGCTTCTGCGAATCGCCCCATATGGTGCCCTCGCCTTGCTCTCCGCACTTTCACCTATAGCTGACCAATGTAGCTACATACTATACTGACTATACCCTACCAACCGCCAGCAGCGCCCAGCCGGCGTGCAACACCGCAAAGCAACCAGCCAACAATCAATCAACCGTCTACCTCTAAGGACCGGTCAACCGGGCACCACCCCACACCATGGTCCGGTTTATCCGCGCACCGTTCCCCAACCGCACCCTTTGGCCCACAAAAACCGCAAGTAACCAAGCCGCCGCCACCTGCAGCTATTCAGCACATCACCGCCGGCCATTGACATCATATTCATAGAAAACTCGCGCCGCTTCGTATATAGGTAGATCAACTGGCCGCCGGTGTATGGAAAGCAATTTTGTACGCTAAAAAGCATCAAACCTTAGTTTTTAGACTAAAACCGGTGTTTTAAACAGGCTCCTTAAAACCCGTGTAAGGTCTAAAACTAAGTTTTAATGGTCTAAACCCCGATTAAGGTCTTAATACCTAGTGAGTACGCGTAAAACCCTAGTTTCTAGACCCTTAAGCCTTAGCCTGGGCGTACGTCCTCTCCCTGTCGAGAAGCTGGTGGAGAAGTCGAGATCAGGGTACCGGAGGCTCGAGACAGGTCGCACGCCCGGTGTGAGGAGGAGGCGCCGCGCAGCCAATGTTGAGGGGATAGCTGGAGTAATGCGAGGAGCCGCCTACTAACCCGGCTCGCAGCTTCCAACTCATCGGGGGGTCCCGTGTCCGCGCCCTCCTCTCTCCCACTCCA